TGTATTATAGAACTTAAATTTGAAAGATACCATTCCTATAGGGCGAGAGCAAATATATTGTAAAAAAAGATATTTTTAAATCTGAATTATCTCAATAATTGCTGTCATTATGGTGATAAATCTATCACCATTTTGTTGAGGTGGGAGACATTCAGAGGAATACTGTAAGAAGAAAAAGAATCAGGTTCAGTCGCCATACTCACCTGGACAAATGAATACAGAATTTATCCCGAAAAACGATGAAATGGTGAGGGAACTTAGAGCATTAGCTCAAGCATCGGATTCTTATGAGACGCCACGGTTAGTTACACCGAATGAAGGTCGTCTACCACCTCGTACGAATTTAAGTTACTTAAATAATGGGTTAACCCGGCATCCAGGACGTCGTAATACGTGGCGTAGCAATTCGAGTAGAAATTTGCAGAATTATAGTGGTGACAGATTTAATCGGACATATAAACCTGTAACTAATTCGAATAGAATTAATAATAATGTTTTTAATGAGGAAAAGAATAACTATAATAATAGTTTTAGTCGTGAAAATACTGTAAATAATACTAACTTTCCCAACCGCCATATAACATTTGATACAGGTTCCACTCCAAGTAGAAGTGACGTCGAGAAGCAGTGACAGTTTTCTTCTATTAATTCGGGTGAACCGCTTCGCGTGTCGGAACATGTCTTTAGGATAGGACATGTGCAATTAAGGGTCCTCGAGACATTAGACACAGAGGTCTTCCTAGATTGCCGAACTTTTATGTACTCCCAAAAGTACATAATGGAGGGTGTCCGGGTAGACCGATAGTGTCAGGCATTCGTCATTGTACTGAGAGAGCATCAAAATTTCTATGTCCTACAACCTTTTGTCGACGGTTCATCTAGATTTATTAAGGAGAAATATCACTGCGATTTCCATAGAGTTCTTAATAGTACAAAACAATTGCTTATTGAGATAGAGTCTGTGAAGGAGGAGATTCTTAGTCGAAGGCTCGATTTAAGTAAATTTTGGTTTGCTACGACAGACATCGAATTATTCCTATTGACGAAGGTATAGCAGGAGTGTCGAATTTCGTTTTTGAGAATAGAGAAACTTCCGATATACCTATTTCGCGGCAAGGGCTTGTCGGATTACTCAAAATAGTGTAAGGTAATAACATCTTTCATTTTGGTGGAAAATTCTATATACAGAAATTCGGTACGGCAATGGGAACCCCATGTGCGCCACCATACGCTAACCTGTTCGTTTTGTTAAATGAACTGAAGCTATTCGACAAGTGCGAGAAGTTACCTTTTCGATTTTTTCGCTATCTGAACGATGAACCTGAACCTCTTCGAGGGATATCAGAGTTCCTGCAATTCAGCTATTCTACAGAATTCTATAGAATTCTACGTTAGCAGAGATACATTTCTTACTGACCAAGTTTGCTACAATCGGAAATGTATAGAATTCTATACATTTCCGCTTGACTCAAACTTGGTCAATAACAAATATATCTGTACTAACGTAGAATTCAATAGAATTCTGGTTTATTACAGACATAGTTGATTAGTGACTTACTATCATGCTCTGCACGCCAGCGCCACCACATAGGCGCTGCTTAGGCTTCAACAAACTTACGCAAGATAAAGCGAACTCATACGTTCGATTAGAATATCACAAGTACGGAAATCGATGAAGAAATCTGAAAGAGTTTTCTAAACCTGGTAACAATGAAGATTTCTATTCTCAAATAATAGTCGAATGAAAGATGATATTCATCTATGTTTCAAGAGGGCACTAACCATAGCGGCTCACTATGGTCAAAGCATATAAGAAGGGTTGCGAAAAACGAAAAGACGCATTACTCCTCTCTTCTCCTCACCCATCTGAGTTGGAAAAATATGAAAGTAACTGCTTCTTCCCTTTTTTTAAATAAACAGAAACAAACTCGTCGATTGTGCAAAATAAATTTCCCACAATGACTCGGCATTCTTTCTTCCAAGGTTAAATTTTGTTGATCTTCTTCTCTTCGACAACAACGGTTGTCAGGTTTAAAATTATTCTTTTACCTTCTCCCCTTCTCTACCGCACACCTTTAGCGCTTTTTACGCAAACACTGCTAATGATGTATAGCAGAAGAACAAATTGCTTTTAAAAAAGTGGAAGAAGTGGTACAAAAAACAACAATTCTTTTTCTTTTTAATCGAAACCGCGGTTAAAATTAGGCATACTCAGCAACTTTTGATAGAGTG